CGCCGGCTGAGATCGGCCCCTCCTTTGTCTTCGTTGTCTATATTGGGACGTCGGCAGGTTCGTTCATTCTCCCTCCTCCCAGTCCCCCTTCCTCTCGACGTTGTGTTGATGCTAATCTGCGGGTTTCTTTGTCTTACCGACAGCCTTCTCTGCCACGTCGACGACGTTTGCCATTCATGCGCCGACCCCGCCACATCAGACCTAGCTTTCCAGTGGTGGCTGAATCGGATCTGCGGGCAGATCTACCGAATGCTTGTGGGTTGACAGCCACAAATGTCTGCCGACAGGCTTATCAGCATCGATGTTATACTGCTTCCCAATTTGTTACGATTGCTTATCAGCTTGACGCTGTTGAAAATCAGTTGTTGTATGACCATAATGGTCCACCTCCTGAAGGTAGTAATTATACTACCTCAGGAGGCTTTACTGTAAATGTCTTACAACTAGCATTCCATGGTCTCCACCTTCTTATGTATCATGCGACGCCAGGCGATGACCTTAATGACCATCCTCATCTTTCTGCCTGTATGTTGCATAGGCCCGGGCATTATATGGCACTCATTTGTGCAGCTGCCCAGTGGGAACTGTGGGATGGTGGGACAATGACTCAGGCTATTTTCAACATAAATGAATTTCTGTGTGCATTACCGAATCATACTTTATTCTGGATTATTCTGGATTATTGATCGACTCTCGTGTGACACCTGTCGGGACAGGGACGCGGTGTGTCTTGGCTGCGGAATTCATCACCTATGCCATCAACATTATCAATCTATTGCAGCCGCCGCCGTCTGTGCCGAAGGGTGTCCAACATTTCCTCATTGTACACATCCCTATCACCCAGATATTTGTTGTCCCTTTTGTGCTCAAGGACGCTATCAGGACTGCATGATGCCGAACTGTGATGAACGTCCTGCTGTTTTTTTGACATGTGGACAGCATGTCCTTTGTCAGGACTGTTTTGATGGGATGGTCCGTGCTAGCCGTCCTGCTGAATGCTGTGCCGAAGTAGCTCTCCTTGGGTATCCTTGTGAACATCCACATCATCCTCGGCGTGCCTGTCCTATCTGCCGGGGTGGGGGCTCCTCTTCCTAACTGGTCAATAGAATCAAGCGATCAGGAGCAACGCTAATTGTAGGACAGGCACGCTGGAACCGTAGTCACGGCCTTTTTCTGCATCACGAGGTCCTTTCCATAGCCCAACATAGGCGAAAGAGAAAGGAGCGTGATGCCTATAAGGCCAGCCACGTGGATGACAGGTTGAGCGCTGGCTGGCCCCATCCCCATGTGTCACAAGGACCCACTTGCACGCAGCCAAAAGGCAGAGAGGAAAAGAAAAGGAGGAGGAAACCAGACCTCACAGAGGCAAGAGAAAGACAAAGGGATCCAATCAAAGAAAAGACAGAGGACGAAAGCAAATAACACATCCCACAGATAAACCAATTGCTACTGTCACTACAAAGTTCAACATATTTTTTTCTTTTTTTCTTTTTTCTTTTCTTCAGAAATTTGTACCTTTTTCGTTCTTTCTTTTTTCTTTTTTCTTTTCGTTTCAATTTTTTCTTTCTTCTTTCTTCAACTCCACATCTGTTGGTACTGTTGGTAGTATCGAAAGCTTTATCTGTCCTACAATTAGTGTTGCTCCTGATCGCTTGATTCTATTGACCAGTCAATAAGAGGAGCCCCCACCCCAGCAGATAGGACAGGCACGCTGAGGATGGCGTGGATGTGCACAAGGATACCCAAGGAGAGCTCCTTCAGCACAACATTCAGCAGGACGGCTAGCATGGACCATCCCATCAAAACAGTCCTGACAAAGGACATGCTGTCCACATGTCAAATATATATATATCATATATATAGATAGACAAAGTCTTTTTTTTGTGTGTGTGTGGCTTACCTGGCTTGTTGTTTCTGTATGGGCTTGCTTCGGAACAGGTTCGGTTTTTGTGGATCATGCTGGGGCCACTTTGTTTGCGGAGTCGCAGCTGAAGGCCATATGGGATGATCTTGCCAAAAATCTTTATGGAAATCCTCGTATCCAGACCAACAACAGGAACAGAAGCAGATGCATTGGTTACTTCTTTCATTTATTTGTGTTCTACCTATTAAGGCTACTTGGCTCGCCCGCCCGTGCAGCAGCACAGCCGTTCAACCCTTGCAAGTCGCCCGGGGGTCACCTGAACGGGTCACCACCAGAGTGGCCCGGGACCACTTGCCCATGCTATATAAATCGTCAAACAGAGCTGGCCGGTATTTATATATATTCAGTTCTCTTTAAGTTTCCCCTTTTTTTTTTAATCAGGGGCCCAGTGCCCAAGGCAAAATAAAAATGAAACCATGGATAGGAATTGTTGAAAATTTCAGAGGATGTTGGCCTCCAACCTTCCGCCCCAGGCAGAGCCTCACCTCTGTATCAATGAACCAAGTTAAAAAAAAATTAAAAAAATTTGCTCGGCCGGGCCACCAGGGGCGCCCGGGCCGCCAAGGTGGCCCTGGCGGCCCTGTTGGTAATTAAGGACGGGTTTGTTCTGGAACCCAAGCCAAATCTGCAGCCATCACGTCCGAACCCACGACGCAAAGCTTTGCCTGACCACTAATCCGGGCCCGAAAAGTAACACTGATCTCTCTTCTTCTGAACATCACGCCCCCTCATCATGACTATATTGGACCAGAAAGGTGGCTTGTAAACAATCATAATCAGGGACCCGGTCAATTATGTTTGGGGGAAGACGGTAGTAGCTAAACCCCTGTCGCTCTCATTTGATCCACAACTTAACCAACTTGAAAATCATGGGGGCCTTAACAACCCATGGCCCAAAAAAAAAAAAAAAATCCAACCCATGCCGAGATCGAAACCTGATCCCAATCCGAAACCCATACCGACAGTAATCCAGAGCTAACTGAGTTATAATCAAACCAGGTCCAAACCAACAGCTCCTCTCCGCAACAGGTCCACAAAGACATAGCTCCACGAACTACTTACTACACACTAAGCAGTACCGACCGCGATCTTTAATGCACATCTCCTGTCACCCCTCCTTTCGTTGCATGTCCGCTCCTCCCGCGATGCACACTCTTGCAGGCAGAGTGCACTTCACCAAATTCTATTGTCCATCACACAGTATACTTCATACTACACCAAACTCTTTTGTCATAAGAGTGCACTACTTCACCAAACTGTTTTACCCCAATATCTCACTCTAAGACTTCTACCAGTATCTCACTCTTCTACCCCAATATCTCACTCTTTTACCCCAATATCTCACTCTAAGACTTCTACCAGTATCTCTCAGTTCCCGGAACTCCTTCCTACCTCCCATATCCGAGCTTTAGCTTAGGACTGTGCTGGAGCATGCATCTGGACTAAGTCTTGCTTGTTGCTGGGATCAGGATCGGGGTAGGGATCGGGATGAGGGTCAGGATCGGGATCGGGATGAGGGTCAGGATTGGGATCGGGATGAGGGTCAGGATCGGGATTGGGATGAGGGTCAGGATCGGGATCGGGATGAGGGTCAGGATTGGGATCGGGATGAGGGTCAGGGTCGGGATCGGGATGAGGGTCAGGATCGGGATCGGGAT